GCTATGACTCTCGACTCTGTATTTACGTCATTGATCATACCAACTGACAACGCGCCTTTGCTTACATGAATGTTTAATCGCTTTAGAATAGATTCCGAAAATAAAATTTGCTGTGGCACAAGTATCTAACCAGGTGCGGGATTTTATCGGATTACGCCCGCGATCCCGGACATAACCACGGCACTCGCTAGTAATTGTGGTGCGGGCGTGTACGACACCATAGCATGCCTTATCTTCGCGGTATTAATCGACTCGGCTATTCACGCGGCCTGTGTATCTACGGCCTTAGAAGTGGAAGTTCGATTCGTCACCGGATATTGGTCTAAATGCAGAAGAGTGTTATGTTTCCTTTGGCAAATTGTACAGTTCGAAAAAGTGCAGGGGGTGTCTCTATGTGAGCGCAAGCAGTTGTAACAAGCCTTCGCGTTTCTCACTGTTTCGATACGTTTAGGTATAGGCAATTGTTTGAATTTGTCGCATAAATACAAGGGATGCCGTTTCGTCTTGCATGCTATGCAATTACGCGCCGCGCTTACGACACGCGCTCGATTCGAGGGACGACTTCGTCCTTTTTTGCTCGAGGGTTCTCCCCTGCTTCCCTCCATGTCGGTTACCTTCGCTCTCTCGCGTCTCGAGACGCAAACCGCGGTTTTATATAAGAACTCGTACATCTGGTCGATCTCTGGAAACTCGTCTCTTTCGAGAGTCGCCTCCCATTTTTCCAACGTTATCCTTGGTAGCTTGGTCTCTAGCAAAGGTACGATCATCTCGTGTCCGACCGAAACTCCCAAAGAGTTTAGCGACGCAACGTGTTGCTGCGCGTCGTCCGCGAGACTGGACAAACCGTTCGTTGTTTCTTTGTTTAGCGCGGGCAAATTTGATAGCAGAGAGAGATGCCGCGATATCAAGATCCTCCTGACCTCATATGACCGTTCTAATAAGCTCCAGGCCTTGGCATAATTAATTCCGTCAATTTCGAAGATCCTAATCTTGTTCGCGGCTTCGTCAGTTAACGCCGATCTAAGGTAATGCAATTTGTCTATTTCCGCAAGGTCCGTTCGCGAGCCTATCATACTGCAAAACGCATTTCTGAATGATAACCATTCCTCAAATCTACCATTAAACTTCGGTAACGGTGTTTCGGGCAGCTTAATCCGCCGTTTCTCAACAGGCGGTACGACGTCATCGCGCCGTACCCCTTCATTCGATACGCTAGCGCTCGTTTCGGACATATCTCCCGACGGCGCATCTCCCGGACGTAAAATACTCTCAATTTTTCCCGCCAAGCTATAAAACCGCTCCTGAATACCCTCGAACTCGACCCGATGATTTGCGTTGGGATCTAATACCGCGAGTTCATCGTTATACTCTTCGAAGGCCCGATATAATTGCGTTAAACGCTCGTTTCGCAACCTTAACGTCGCGTTATCAATTTTCCCCTCTTCGACGATATTGGCTAAATTGGTTATTTGGGATTTCAGGGAAGTTCGTTTCTGAACGAGGAATTTGATTTTGTCCGCCATCTCGGCATGCGACGGAATGTAAATGCTGGGAAAGAATGACTTACTCTTACGCCTGTCGAGTACGATTGCACACGTTCCTCCTTCGGCTGACTTGGATGACTTGGAGGACCCGCTCTTAGTAGATGTGAGGCGGCTCTCAGGCTGGATCCCGTTTCTTGCGTGGATTGAGGCACACACCTCACAGGAGGCACCAAAATGTTCTGTATCAACACGAACAGTATTAGTGTTCGTGCTGTCTTTTCGCGTAATGACAATAACAAGTGATGTTGGGTTGTGAATATATTGTTTATTGGTCCGGTCTCAGAATATACCACAAATCTTTGTGTCTCGCACTCGCGATAGGGATGCCCGCGACGACGCCTCGGAGCTGTTGCCCCGGGTCGCGGACTACTCGTATGTGATGGTTATTTGGTCCAGCGACGACGCCTCGGAACTGTTGCCCCGGGTCGCGGACTAATCGTATGTGATGGTTATTTGGTCCAGCGACGACGCCTCGGAACTGTTGCCCCGGGTCGCGGACTAATCGTGTGTGATGGTGACGACGTCTCAGAGCTGTTGCTCTGGGCCACCTTCGCGGACGCTGCGGTTCGCGACTCTCACTGACTCGATCACAATTTACTTCCTTGATGTTCTCGACGCGAGTATGCCCGTAGGGGATCGTTCGGTTCGGACTTCTGTACTGTACTGTGCTGAGTGAGTGCCGGACCATCGCGCTCGGCTATATGTACTGCGATCCCCCGCCAAGACTTCAGGAAGTTTTCCCAAAATCTTATTGGTGGGCCCTTAGGTCCGCCTCTCGATCCTCGATCAGCGGCTCGCAGACATCGGGGAAAACAAAGGGCGCGGGGACTACGAAAGCCGCGCGCCCGAGCCCACCGGCGCCGTACATGTCCGAACTCGCACCGCACGCCGCCCCAATCTTTGTAAATAAGATTGCGCGGATGCGTCGCCAGACGGTCGCCGGCGCCGATGCGCGCGTTCCGCGCCGCTCACGTCATCGTCCCTTGTTGGGCCCATCGCATGTACATACATTGCGTCGTAGAAATGTCGCGCACGACCCCTCTACGACGCAACACCGCCCTTCCCCCACGTGCGACAGAGTAAAGTTCGATTTTTATTATTGACTCATCGCGTGTATGCGCTGGAACGCGCCCATCGTGTCCGACTCGTGAGAGACGCTACGCAACAGAACATAATTTTTTTTAAATAAAAACATTCTTCCACAGATAATACGAAATATTTCAAAGAAATTATTCGTCAGCAAGGTTATTTTAAAACTCATTTGTGGCAGATGGCAGACGATTTGAGACAAATAAAAGACAAATAAAATGCTATAACAACTGGTAATCTGATGCGACACAATCAAAACGGCAACAAACAACAAGATACAATTTATAACTCCTTTGAGTTACCGTTTAAAACTGTGAAAGATATAGAAGAGACTGTGGAAAACTTTTTGAAAATTCCAGATAACTTTGAACGTTCGGTACATATACATATGTTCTATACAAATTTCGTAAAATAACAGATAATTGGTATGTAATATATGATTTTTTGTAGACAACAGAAGCATCTATAGTAGGAGGCACATCTCCTTATAACTTTATAAAAAGAAATTTGTGCCGATTAGTTAGCAATGAACTTGCACAACAATACAGTTGGTTGGACAAGAAACTCAAAAGGAAATTTTATAACCTTCGAATCGCAGATATGTTACTAGGTAAATGTATTAAATGTATCATATAATATTACATTATAAATATGTACATTTAAAAAAATATTTTTTTTCAACTTTTAGTGTAAAAATAATTTGTAGAAAAAATTAATTGATTGATCTTTGCAAGTATACATATTATTTCTGTTACAGCTGCAGGTGCTGCATATTCTAACTCGACTTATACTAAACTGGAATTGGAGAAGGCAATACAATTATGGTTAAAAAGGGGTAAAGAGCGATATGATGCTGAAAGAAAAAAAGCAAGAAAAACTTGAAAATGATATCGAATAGTTCTTTATATAAGCCAAAAATTTATTTGTTTCTTTAAAATTGATATTTTGTTTCTAAAGTACATATAATTATTTTAAGTTGTGTGATATTTTCATGTTCTTCTTTCGAATAGTTCAGTAGTTTGAAATATTTTTCGTAATGACTTCTGCACACAGGACGCGGAAATGCTTGCTGCGCGACAAGAAGCAACGCAGGAACCAATCAATTTATCACTTTTCTGTAAGAGCAAAAGAATTATATTGGCTATCACTGCTTCATGCCGCGCGGTAAACTTTCCGCATCCTGTGTGCAGAAGCCAATAGTTTTTGCAATATTTTTCTTTTTAAGATTTATTTACATTATGTTTTTTTTTATTTTATATAATGCAATATAGATTCCCAGCAAACACCAAAGTAACAGTTACATAACATCAATATAAATGTAATATAACACCGCCTGTTATATTACATTTCCATTGATGTTATGTAATTGTTACTTTGGTGTTTGCTGGGTTATAGATAAAAATGTATGAAGCATTTATATTTAATTAAATAAGATG